CCATCGTCCGTTGAAGTCCGCCGAGTCGTCAGGATCTTCAAGGAAGCCTGTGACGGAGCGAGTCCGTCACAACAACAAAAAGTGCATCCGTGGTTTAGTGGTAAAATTAACGCTTGCCATAGATACTCTGACCGCTCCGGCTTCAGGGTGCTACAGCAACATGTGTTAGCCCCGGGTTCGATTCCCGGCGGATGCATTATCTCGAATAGTATAGTGGCTAGTACTTCCGCCTGTCACGCGGATGACCGGGGTTCGATTCCCCGTTCGAGAGTTTTGACACCGCAAACGCCCTTGGCGCCTTCGTTTATATCATGGCGCCACTACTCGAGATCTTTCGCAGGCTTAGGTTGGCACTGCATTTTAGAGAAAGGCCAGGGCAGGGCCAACATCTTCATTTATGGCTATGGTGGGGTCCGTAGGAAGCTGAGCTAAAAGCAATATCATGTGGAATCCGGCATCAAAGCCGTCAGAGACTTAGCAGCGCCATTTGAAAGAGCCGCTGCAGCGGCTGTGGGTGGTGAGCTTTAAAGGCGCTCGCCGCGCACCACCGTTTTCTGGAGGTGTGGCTCGCGACGTACAAACGGCTATGGGCCAAAGCGGTCGCCTATGGCGCATCCAAGTTTGCCCCCAGAGGCCAGGGAGATCCCCGTCCCAACAGCGTGCGCCTAGCGGTTCTGTACCGTGCTAGTCGACGAGTTCCGAACGATCCAGGTGCATGCCGAGGCGGGCGAGATCCTGGCAACGGTGAAAACCCGGGGAACGGTGATCGTGCCGATTTCTCGCGCGTTCAAGGCCACCCGGCCTTGTCGACGGCAGCCAACCGGGTCCACAGGACCCGAGTGTATGCCCAAACGAATGTGGTCCTAAAATCCGGGCAACGCTGGCGCATGGGGCCGTGGTTCGCTGTGGCGTGATGCCACCAGCGGCAAGTTTATGAACCACAATCTCAATGCCGCGTTGAACGTCCGACGATGCCTGGCCTCACCCGTCAAACTGAGGGCGCCATGCTGCACCCCCGAGCAAGCTCCATAGCAGCCTGTCGTCGGCAAGCTCATCCGACAATGAATCGAATGAGCTACTGCCACCCCTTGGAGGCACCAAGGAGGACATGGCGTTCGTGTGGATCATCTTAAGAGAACTCTATGTTCTTAAAATAATATGTCTTATTTATTCCCTGTTTTTGCAGCTACCTACCGACGAGAGCGGCGACTTACTTCTCACGGTGATTATTACCGTATCAGGCGTAACGTGCCTTGAGACCCTTGGCGATCGTCTGAAGTTGAATGTTCGAGGTGCCCTCGTAAATGGCTCCGATCTTGCAGTCACGGTAGAACTTCTCGAGAAGCAGGTCACGGGTAAAGCCAACACCGCCAGCCCAGCCGACTGCCTTCGCTGTAGTGCTTTCGGCCACCTTCGAGGCAAAGAACTTGGCCATCGCGGCTTCATACATGAAGGGTCGGCCCTCCTCCTTCAGGCGCGCGGCGTTGTAGGTCAGAAGACGCGCGGCTTCGATTTCGATGGCCGTCTCAGCAAACTGGAACTGCATGCCCTGGAAGTCACCGATCGCCTGACCGAACTGCTTGCGTTGATACGTGTACGGCAGGACTTCATCAAAGGCACCTTGGGCAATACCAAGCATCTGGGCAGCAATGCCGATGCGCCCCTCGTTCAAAATCTCAATGGCATACTTGTAGCCCTTGCCGATCTCACCAAGAACGTTGGCTTCGGGCACCTTGATGTTATCAAATGCCAGTTCGCAGGTCGAGGACGAGCGGATACCCAGTTTCTTCTCCTTCTTGGCAATCTGGACACCCATGTCCTTCTCGACAATGAAGCAGCTGATGCCCTTGTAGCCCTTGCTAGGGTCGGTGTTAGCGAAGACCAGGAACGTGCCGGCCTCACCCGAGTTGGTAATCCACATCTTGGTTCCATTGAGAAGATAGTAGTCGCCTTTCTTCTCCGCGCGGGTCTTCAGCGCAAAGGCATCGGACCCAGACGACGCCTCGGTCAGGCAGAACGAGCCCACGGTGTCCGTCGCCAAGCGGCTAAGGTACTTCTCCTTCTGCGCCTGCGTGGCGTGATGACGGAGCGTAGTGTTGACCAGTGTGTTGTGAACATCTACGGCCACACTAGCCGAAGCATCTACCTTGGCCAGCTCCTCGACAGCGATAATGGCCGACGTGAAGCTCGCGCCTGCGCCACCGAGCTCTTCGCTCGTTTCGAGTCCCATCAGGCCGTTGTCAAAAAAGCTCTGGATCACTTCGGGCGTCATGCACTCTTTTTCGTCCATGTCGCGGACGAGGGGCTTGAGGTATTCCTGAGCATACTTGCCGACCGACTCACGGAACATTTCTTCCTCCTCCGTAAAGGTGTGCAGCGAGTTGAGGGTGGGGCCCTCACGGACAGCCGCTGACGCCGAGAAGGTGCTAAATGAATTAACCACATCAAAGGCGGCACAATGTGAGTCCGTGCGCTTTGACTCTCGCTCCATTGTAATGATCATGGGCTGTGCTAGATCGTGCCATAAGGCGAGGGCATAGATGCCTACATCGGCCATCCGCGAGGCAGGGGCCTTACCGGCGAGTGAGACCGCTGGCGCCGGCGGAACGCGCCGCGCGACCCAGCTGAAGAACAGATCGGAACATGGTTAGAGAGGCAACGGGGTGTGCGAGGGGTGGCGGGAGCAAGAACAGTCAAGAAACAAGAACGGCTGCGTGTTAGCGACTGCAGTTAGGAAATGGGATGTCAGTCTCGATCGAGTGAAGCCCCCATCGTCGACGCCTTTCTCTCTGGCCGTATCTGACTGCACCTTGCCTGTTGTCAAACCTGGTCGACCAGACCGCGATGATAGCGAGCGATCTTGCCTCCTCGGGTGGAGGATGTCTCGTAAGATCCTTCTATCGGACGAACCTTATATACGCCCGACCCTGGACGAGCGCCGAGGCGCGTCGCGTCCGTGCGAATGCGGGCCGTGCCGCCGTGCGAATGATCACGCGATGCCTCTCGCTCGTCGCACGGCCGATGCCGTGCCGCGACGGGTTCCAGCCGATTTCTCTGTGCTCGGCCAGGGTCGGCCGCCGTCCGTCCAGATCGGCCGCTGCCGGGGTCGGCTCCGCACGGGGAAGCCCGGTCGGTGTCCGTGTGGCGCTGCAGCCACGTTGCCGTTCCCAGCCTCCGCCCCTCTGCTCCGGCGCGGCTTCCGGTCCTGGTTGTCAGCACGCCAGCGAGGCGGTAGCGCCCCACACCGTACAGCGCACAGGGCAGAAGCACGCCCCCGCCCCGGTGCTGTCAGCCGACCTGCCGACCCGGCGGATCCGAGGGCCCGTTCCGCGTGGTCCCGGTTGCTTCCGAAGGCGCAGCGAGGCCGGCTTTCTAGCGTCACCCGGAGGCACACGGCCAGGAACCATGGCAGCGGCCGTGGCCGCAAACAAAAAAAGCTTATTCCGACCTGATTGCAACAGGTCCACTATATAAATCCTTTCAGCGACGGCTGCCGTCCCCTCTTCCTTTTTAGCGGCTTTTTCGCGGTTGTGCTAGGTCCTCTGGCCAGACCGCACCTTGTCCGCCCGCCCGCCGGAACGCAGTTGAGAAGCCATGGGTGGTGGGGTCAGAAACGACGCATGCCCAACTCTGCTTGTCCGCGCGGGCTGCTCAGCACCCTCGTGACACCGTCTGCCGTCCCGCTGCCTGGCCGCGATCACGCACATCCGACTCGACCGGCACCCCCGCCGCCGCGCGACAACGATGCGGCGGACACGGTGCAGCTAAGCTCGTGGTCCCGCGCCGTTCTTGATGCCCTCCATACCGACCATCTCGATGCGCTGACCCAGTCCTACGGGCTTCTCGGCTTTCACACCAGCGACCGGCTTGGTGCTCAGCCGACGCCGTTTAGCGGTCTGACAGCGGGCCGCCGCGCTGATTCTGCGGTTTCCCCGTGGCTCCCACAGCCGTCCGAGCCACCGGTCCTGACGACCGCCTCGCAGTCGCGGCAGGCAACGCTGACTGAGCTCTTTGGTGCTAAGGCACGGCCGTTGTCATCATCCCTGTCCGCGGGTACGGCGACAGCGACCGCAGCCGCCGCAGCCAAGCCGACACTTCCTTTATCAGGCAAGGATCACCGCCACGCTGCGGCACGCCCGACGTCTACCGCTTCCGAACTCTTGGCTGAGGCGGCCAATCGCCGTGTCGCCGCCAGCGCCGTCAAGGCTGGTCAGGCACGGCAACTGTCGACAGAAAAGGCAGCTCGGACGCGATCGATTCATGCATGGCAAGCCGCGGTCCAGATCGATCCGGCCGAAACATCCGGCGGACCTCGTGCAGTCGCTCTCGCTGCACCGCTACGTCCTATGGCTGGCGTGTCCGAAGCAGCATCGAGTGACACGGACTCGGACTGGGCGCCCATGTTTGTAGCGCCACGCCAGACGTCGCCACGTGCTGCTGCACCGCCGCCTGTCACCTCGCAGCCGCCATCCTCACCTCCGGCACCGGTGCACGAACGCATACGTGAGCAGGGCCTCTATGTGCCAGAGTCACCGCCCCAGGCAGCTGCCGCTTATGACACAAGCGGGGTCTCTGCACCGCCTCGTGATGCTGTTGTGCACCAGATGCCTCATGGCGTAAAACCACGGCCCCCGGGCGGGCTCGAGACGAAATCCCGACTACAGGGCAAGCGGCTGATCCTCCGGTCCGAGCGGACGCCGGAACCGCGACGCGTTCCCTTGCGCCCCCGGCCTGCCTCCGTAGCAACGACGGCAACCAAGTCCACTCTTTGTCCTGCCCAGGTTTCGGACGACGAGATTGAAGACGACCGCTCGCCTGCGGCGCCCCCAACCGGGGAAGAAATCATGCTTTTCAGCGACGATTTCGTGCTGAGCGCCCCGCACGGCGCTCTCCAGGCAGGCGGGCATCGACCCCAACCACAGTCTGCGACCCCCATAACGTCCTACCGGACCCACGTCGCGACGGCGCTTTCCGCATCGACAGTCCTACCGAGCCATGGAGAAGATGCCATCGAGTTCACGGCGCCAAGCGCAGGATTGATGTCACTTCCCCCTCATCCTCTCCAGCCAGGAACGGCGGCGGACATGCCGTTCTGTCCGTCATTACCTGGCGCCGCGGATGTGACGCCCATGCCTTTCCTGCCGTCATTGTCTTCTTCATCGTCACCTGTTTCGGACAGGTTTGGCGGCCCCATTG